CCCCCCCACCACCCCAGAAGAGAAACATGACAAAACACATCTCTTAAAGGCACAGTACTGTCTCACTTTCTGCTATGTCCTGCGAAGAGGGCACAGTTTGAAGCCTCGGGAATTGAAAGTGAATCTCCTAGACTCTGTTGTAACCAAAAAGTTGGGAATGGGAGGGTGTTTCACTGGGTGGGCTAATTGGAAATTGGAGGTCATATAAGAAAGCTGCATAAATACATCCAACCTGAGAGAAGATGGAATGGGTGGAGAAGAGTAGTGGTCAGTTCAAGTCGTCCCCATGACTGTGGAGTTGTTCCTTTTTCTCTCTCTCTATTCAATTAAATATTCTTTTAAAAACGTACCTCTTTGGTTGTGGCCTGCAGAGGTCCCTCTGAAGGACTGTTAGTGAGTCTGAAGTAATGTTTAATGCAACAGTCCTGGCAATGTCCAAAGCAGATCAGTTTCAGGAAGGGGGTCTCAAACAAATGTCAGGACTCTTTATGTATGCAAAGAGTGTAATGCCATTTAGGCCCTGGGCATCTATCTCTGTCTTTTGTGAGCAGTAGAGCTTTCAGACGAAATGTGTATTCTCTCGTCACAATGTTAGATGTCTGTTTTTATACCTGTAAAACTGGGATAGTGTTGACCAATTTCTGTTTTCGAGCAAATGGTTACAAATCCTTTGGCTACTGTATTACAGAATCATCGACATTTACAGCACCAAAGGAAGCCACTTAGGCTATCATATCCGTACTAACCAACGAAGATGTGGAGGTGCTGGTGTTGGACTGGGGTGGACAAGGTCAGAAATCACACAACACTAGGTTATAGTCCAACAGGTTTATTTGAAAACACAAGCTTTTGGAGCCTTACTTTTTCAGGTGTTAGTGAGAGAGGTAGTATCAGACACAGAATTTATAAGCAAAAGATCAAAGGATCACACTGCTGATCAGAGATCAGAAATCATAGATTCAGTCTGTGTGTATGTATATAGAGTGGTGAGGTCACCTGTAGTGCGACATGAACTCAAGATCCCAGTTGAGGCCATCCTTGTGGATACCGAATTTGGCTATTAGCCTCTACTCATCTTTGACCACAATGTCTTCACCTTTGACAACCAGTTCTTCATCCAGACACAGAACAGCCCTGCGGATCAGATTTGCTCCCCAATATGCCAACATTTTCATGCACAGGTTTGAACAAGATTTCTTTGCTGCACAGAACCTCTGACCACACTATCTACCAGATACATTGACATTTACTTCCTTTTGGACTCATGGCAAGGAATCACTGAAACAACTACATAGCGATATCAACAAGTTTCATCCCACCATCAGACTTGCCATGGACTACTCTTTGGAATCAGTCTCATTCTAGGACACACGCATCTCCATCAGGGACGGACACCTCGGTACATCACTCTGCCGCAAACCTACGAATAACCTCTCAATGCTGCACTTCAGGCTTCCACCCGAAACATATTAAAACAGCCATCCCTTACGGACAAGCTGTACACATACACAGGATCTGTTTGGATGAGGAGGAACAAGATGGATACCTGAAGGTGTTGGAGGACGCCTTCGTAGGAACAGGATATGATGCTCAACTCATCGATCACCAGTTCCGATTTGCCCCAGCGAAAAACCGTAATGACCTCCTCAAAAGACAGACACAGGATACGTCTGATAGGGTGCCCTTTGTCGTCCAGTACTTCCCGGAGCGGAGAAACTACGCCATGTTCTTCGCAGCCGTCAACACATTATTGATGATGATGAGCACCTCACCAAGATCATCCCCGTGCCTCCACTTCCCGCCTTCAAACAACCGCCAATTGTTTGCAGCAAACAACCCAGCCTTCAGGTCAACATTGACCACAATGCTATCCAACCCTGTTATGGCAACCTCTGCAAGACATGTCAGATCATTGACATGGACACTACCATCACACGTGGGAACACCACCCACCATGTGCAGAGCAGATACTCATGTGACTTGGCCAGTGTTGTCTATCTCATACGCTGCAGGCAAGGATGCCTCAAGAAAAAGTATATTGGCAAAACCACACAGACGCCACAACAACAGATGAATAGACATCGAGCCACAATCGCCAGACAGGGACGTTCCCTCCCAGTTGGGGAACACTTCAGCAGTCAAGGACATTCCGGGCCCGCATCTTCGGGTAAACGTCCTCCAAGGCAGACTTCAGGATACACAACAACGCAGAGTCGCCAAGCAGAGCTTTTTTTTCCTCTTTCTTTCTCGCTCTTTCTTCTCTCTCTCTCTCTTTCCCCTCTCTCTCTCTCTCTTTCCCCTCTCTCTCTCGTCTCGCTCTCTTTTCTCTTTCTATCGCTCTTCTCACTCGCGCATGCTCTCTTCACTTTCTCTTTCGCACGCGTGCATGTGAATCTGTGGGGTGAATTTGTATTTGCAGATACATTTTTATTTTGTTCAAAAAGCTCACAATTTATAGACAGTCAGTCAATGGGGTGTTTAATAAATTCCTACTTTAGAAATAAAACCAGTCTGACTCCAAACCAAAACACAGCCCGATTCCAAACCAGGCCTCATACCTAAAATGCATTGTCTGACCTTCTTTACACTGATGAAACCTTTAGTTCTGTCAGGACAGTGACTTGTAAGGAATTCGGGGATTTATGTATACGTATTAATCAACTCAAACCACCGAACTGAGTATTTAACAGCATCTCAGATTTGTTTTAGTACATCCTGATCAGTGGTGTGACTCTTTGATCTTTTACTTGTAAATTCTGTGTCTGATACTACCTCTCTCTCTAGCACCTGAAGAAGGAGTGAGGCTCTGAAAGCTTGTGTTATCAAATACACCAGATTATAGTCCAACAGGTTTATGATTTCTGACCTAGCTAACAAAGCTATTCAGCCTAATGCTACTTTCCAACTCTTATCTGTAGCCTTGTAGGTTACAGCACCTTGAGTATATATCCAAGTGTTGTTTCCTCCTACAGTGGAGATTCATTTTGTATTCGTTTATTTTTAGCTTACTTGGGAAATTTTGTTTTTCAACTCGTGGGGAGCTTGATTTTGACCAAATGAGTATCTGTTTGGCTAAGACCTGCTTCAAGTAATCCAGGATAAGCTGTGTAAATTTAAGTTGGCCTATTCTTGATTACTTGTTTCAGGAAATAGTCTGCTTCACCGGCTAGGATTGCTGATGGCATCTTCAGCAGTTACCTGTTGTTCAGTATGTGGGACAGGAAGAGAATGGAGGTGCTGGCCTCATGATACCCTAACCTGAATCATTGAAAATCAATGAGCCACCAGTAGAGGGAGGTGAAAGTTGATACAGCATAGAAAATGGCCTGGAACTGTCTGAATGAGGGAGGAGGGGAAGAGAGAGAAGAGAAAGGAATGTTAATATGCTGGGTCTATTTCCGCTTCTAACTGTCTCGTGCATTTTTTCAGGTTTGTATTCAAGAAGCCAAATGTTGACAGATTTCTTCAAAGAATGGAAGATCTGTTTGAATGTGTGCTATTTACAGACAGTTTA